CCGTGTAAATAGTTAAGGCAGAGCAGAGCGAGGGACTGTCTGCATGCAGAGTGCTGGGATGAGAAGCGACAGATCACACAGTGGATTTGCACAATTCCATTTAAAGGCAGACTGCTATTTAAAGTACTTCAGTGAAGTATGATGTGCCTGCAAGCCAGAGCTGGAATAGAGTGATGATTCATTCTGGGACATACTGGGCTGCTTCAGTGCTGCTGGCTGGAGTTTTCAAAGCTGCGAGGCAAAGATACTCTTCTTTCTTTTTTTTTTTTTTTTACTCATACTGTAATCAATTGAAAATGTACTTGGTCGAAATTTGCAGTTGTGGATGCTTTTCGTCGCTGTTCTGTGTGCACAAACGTTATTGCAGAGCGCTGCCGTGCTGTGCCGCAGCTGTGTAATTGGTGTTGCGGTTACGCTAAGAAATGCAAACAGTTTGCTGAGCTCCACAGGTCCTGTGCTCGGTGACTGTTTTTGCTAACAGATGTCTTCTCGAGTTTTGTAGAAATCAATGGATTTTATTTTATTTTATTTTTTTAAATGGGGCGAAGCTGGCAATTAAATTGAAATAAAAGCTGTACTGAGAAAAAAACCCAAAATGCTGCTCTTTTTCTTGTAGCTAACGCTTCGGTCCTCCTTCCAGGAGCGCCCCTCTGCGCGTTGCCCTCCCGTGGCTGCTCTTTGCCGACTGAATCCCTCCTGATCTCCGCTCTGGGATGGTTAAAATTTTTGGTTTGGGTATTTGTGGTGAGATTTTCAATGTTTTCATCTGCTTTCAAAGTTCTTCGCAGTTCTGCTGCTTAACTTGTCCGCTGATCTGAGGTTTTACAAGACACATGGATGCAAAGACCGGGTGTCCTTGTGGTCGTCCAAGGTGCCATTGCCCATCGAGGCTTGATGTGAAGTGTCTGGCACAAAACTGATTTTAAGGGTTACTTTGAGCACCCAGAAAAGGACTTGAGGTAAGGAAAACATGCAGTGGAGTTTGCTGCTGGCCCGATCTTTTGGGTCAACTCCGCAGGGGCATCTGCTGGCCCAGGTGCAGCTTTGGGCAGCATTAAGGATCCTGCCAAAGCAACATGTTCCTGTAGCAGAGGCATCGGGGGGAGTCGCTGCCCTGCAGCCCCTGCTGCAACGCTTTCTGGGGGGCCAAGAGGAACCCCAGAGCCTGTGAACCTCTGCCACGGAGGAGCTGGGTTGTGTCTGTGGATGTTACTCGCTCAGCAAGAGAGATCTCTTCACCCTTTGCCTTCCGTTGTCTCTGCCTGATGAGTTGGAACAAGAGTCTCCCCTCCTGGTGTGTGGATCTTTGGGGAAGAGGGAAGGAAGCAGTTTTGTTACCGGGGG